TGTCTCATGGTGGGATCAGCCATATTGTCCACTCTGTCCATTGGCTGTTCAGAGCAGGGATTTTGTCCTCCAGGCCTGGTGGGTCAGGATGTGCTCCACTCTCTTCCTCACACTAAATGCTCCCATTGGCTCTGATCAGACATGCCCCTCTCCCCTAGCTGCAGCTTCAGTGCTGTCCTCTCAAGTAAATTCTTCTGGGGGGGAGGGGCTTCTTTCATTTTTATGAGCAACTATAAATGGTATTGTACATTTAATTTCAATATCCAGGTATTCATTGCTAACATGTCAGAACAATTTGATCTGATGTTGATCTGGTAGTTGGCAATTTCACTAAACAAACATAGTAGTGCTAGTTTTTGTTTTGAGATTCTCTAAATATTGACTCAGTTCCTATTTATTAATAGGCTAGACAGTGAAGAAACCTTACTTCCCTCCCTATCCCCTTACTCATCTCACCTTGAATGGGAACTTTGTTACCAGAATCCCAGGAAGTCTTATTATATTCCTGAACCTGGCCCCTGATTTCTCTGTCAGAAAATGCTGTGCCTGCCACCATCCCATCCTAATTCTGAAAACTGTCAGGTCTAGGATTTACCCTACATACAAAGCAGTAAGTCAGCCCATCAGTTTCACAGACACTAACAGAACACACAAGACTCCTGGTTCAGAGACAAAGGACTGACCACTCGTGGCCGAGCAGTAAGAACAGTAGTTGATGGGGTCAGTGTCTCTTCCCCCAGTTCCACAGGGGTGCGCTGGGCCTTGACAAGTGCCACCTGCAGGGACTTGCATGACCCCTGAGGCACACACGCAGGAGTCTACTGCTTTTATAGCAAGCACTAGCAAGCCTGCTTTGTCCTCACCGTTATTGGCTGCAATACACCCTAAGAAATGATACACGTAAAAAATTGTGGGTATAGTTTTCAGTCTTAGACTCGCAATGAAATGTGTAGGAACAGAGGCCCAAGAAGACCGCTTCTCTCCAAGCAAGAGAAACATACTTTATGTTATTCATGATTAATCTATCTAAACTTGTGTTAATGATATATCAGGGGGATTCATAGAGTTCATGAGAAAATGGCGAATAAAAAGGAGGGGATTTTTTTCCCATGAACTTTTGGAAAAAAAACCCCGTATAGCTGGCCAGGATGATATATAGCTTGATCAACATGTTTTTAACATTTTACTTTCAAAGACTAAAGAGCATTCTTTCAATAGTTTGGCCACCACTCAGGCTGGCAGCTCACCTGCCAGTCCTAAGTAGAACAGAGAAGTTAAGTTCTTTGGGTCCATCTTTCTTTTCTAAAGTAGACTGCTACACAATCCACTTATGGGTGAGGTTTGCAACTGACATACAGTAATATATTGTTGTTAAAGGGAAGATCCACTAAGCACATACATTGATGAATACTGAGAAAAAATTTGTACACAGGCCCAAAACCAAGCATATGAAAGTGTTTTTCCTATGGAGTTTTAATGTCAGCCAAAAACACTCAAACAACAACAGTAACACCTAAAAGTATGTATTTCAACTTAATTTCTAAACTTTTATTTTTACTTTTCAAGGTCACACTGTTTCCAAATTATGGCCACACTTCAGTTAGTCTTGGATTTTAACTTATAATGGTAACTTGACAATGTTAGGGGGGGAGGAGGGGAATAAGATGAGTAACTGCAATAAACAGCAACATTTGAAAGATAATCCAACATATGGACATTGGTGGTCATGTTCCAACTGAACGCATTAACAGCCATACATAAAACTACACGACCCTCCGGGATCACTGGTAACCCTATGAAGCACCCTGGAACGTGTGTGAGTGCACTGGAGTTCAAATGTCAAGGGCTGTTTTGGTAACTCAGAAGGGAAAGAACAGTAACATTAGTAGAAAAGTAGGTGTTCCTATTCATACCGCATAAAATAAGGGCTTTCAGCTCTAAGCAATTTCACAAAATATACCTGAAAAATCACTTTCATCTTTGTGTTTCCATTAGAGATTTGAAGGAAAAATCATAACATTTGCTTCTGAAAGCTGGAGTGAAAATAAAATGAGGACCTAAGTCACAGTGTTTTAACAAAAAAGCAGGTAGGGATTTGGTGCTTTATCACTGGGGTAGAAAATACTCAATAATTGGTCTAATGTAAAAATATTAGGCAGTAATAAATTTTATGTAAGAATCAAATTAATCCCATCATATTGGAGGGAATTAGAAGAAAATTAAGCTTCTTGATTGAGTTTAAACAAAATCCATAATGTAAGGAGACAAAATAGGTAGTTTAAGTAATAAATGTTTAATCAAAAATTTTTACATATTATTAACAGCATTCATTTGGCCAAACATCTACACGGTTGTAGAATCCTACTGCATATAAAGTGGGAATGTATCAAGTATAGACTATGAAAGTGCAAATAACAAGTCAAGGTTAGAGTATATTTTCTTTTTCTTTTACATTATAAAATTAACTTGTTTACAAAATAGGCTTTGCCAAACTTTATTTCTGAATTGTAAAGTCAGTGACTACATTGTCTTTAAAATATGTACCAAGGGAATACACACTGGATAATGATCATGTCCATGCTCAGGAAAGAAGGGCACAGAAACAAAGGGTACTGCATCAGTGCTAGGCAGCCTGAACCCCCCAGCTTGACCCAGAGCATGCTTCCCACCTCCCTGCAGCTACACAAGCTGTCCCAATGGGTGACTCCCACTCTTCCAATCGAAAAGTTACAACTGGGTCTAAACACTTAGTGGTGTTGGTATTTTTAATGCAAAATAAATTTGTAACAAAAAATGCTTGAATCGACTATTTCCGTTAATACAGTAATACACTGTAGATAACATTAATTCCCCCAACTAGCTTTAATAGGAATTGGGAACAATGCCTGTGATAACTGGGGAGATAAAAATGGGAGTGGACTTGTGATACCCATAATGGAGGAACAGCGCCTATACAATTTCTCTTAAGAGAACTGGGAAATATTAAACACTCTAGTAGAATGTCTGAGCCATATGAATTTAAAGTACAAGAATATTTCAAAATGGGGTTTGAAAAATAAAAAGTGATCAGAAACCATAATCACGATTCAAGTGGGTATCATCAATACTAATACAGCCTTTGACCCAGATCAGGACTTGCCTGTACAAACTCAGTACTAAAATTTTGGTGTATGTAGATTTCTGTTAACAATCTGGTAAAACATTAAATGGAGTGTTATGTATCTATTTTGCTTATGAGTTATGCTAGTTTTGATAATATGTAAGTAAAACAGCCATTCCAACAGTTCACTCTAGTTTTAATTACACACTGTACCATTTTATCTTAATTACAACTAAGACCAGTATTTTCTTCACAGTAAGACACTGACAACTAGGAAGTTGTTTTTTTTAAAAAACACTTAACAGTAATCACACAGCAAATGAGTATTGTGCAATGGAACAAACATCTCAGCATTTGCTATTTAGGCAAACAAATCAAGTGAACATTTAGTTGTTATATTTACTGTAAAGGCAAGGCCATGGGTGGTTTTATGGAGGTCTTTGCAATTCATAGCATAGTTACTTCAGAAGAGACATTGAAATTTGAATTACTCACTTATTTAACTGGCAACTATCCATTTAGGTTAGGCAAAGGCACAGTAACATGTTGCGCAAGATGTTTGATGGAATTTTTAACGTAAGTGTGGGATTTACTATAACTCATGAAAACTCCACTTTTTTTCTATTTTATAAAACACCATTAAAAGTAATTGCACCCAATAGTAATTAGAATGCACTGTAAAATTGTGAAAACAAGGAACTATGATTGCACTTCCAATAAAGTGTCTCTTTAAATACAGCACCGCTGTTGCTAATCAACTGTTTTAATATTAAAATAAACTGTTTTTAACAGCAGCATTAGGTTTAGTTAACTTAAGCTACAGGCTACATTTATTTAAATGCAGTCTCCAGGGCAACAAAAGCCCATTAAATTTTGAAATATCATTGCTAGCAAGTGGCACCGCTTACTTCCGAGAATGGCGAAACTGCTTTGGAGCACTCTTTAACACTGCACACCTGCGCACACTTGTTAGCGCACTAGTCAGAGTTTGGCACATATGGACTGTAAATAAGACAGGAAAATAAATGTTGGATTCAAAGGACAGTTAAAAATTATTACACGGTGGTGGATGCCGCACTAAAGAGAAGTAGCCACACTTCTCGGACAAAAAGGAAAGTTATGGAAGAGCACAGAGACTGAGGAACTAAATGTTATTAGGACTGTTAATGTGAACTCCTGGAATAAAGAAAACTTTTTTTAAAGGGAAAACCACCCAAGGATTAGGGAATAAGCCTGTAATTTAAACATTCAACTTGACTACTGCCAATCTTAAGCTAAGTAGAGAAGCAAATTTTCTCAGCATAGGGCATGTAACCTATTTATGCCATTTGTGTTCCCCTTTTTCTCTTGCACTTTTTGTCAGCAAAAGTAAGGGGGAAACCTATCCAATTAAATATAAAAGAAATCCCCTGTAAGGTCAAAAATTAAAATGAAGCTACCATTCAAAGGAACTCCTTTATATTGAATCCTAATGTCAGTGGTTTCTAATTTAGTTGAAATTAAGCAGATCAAAGTCTTCATAGAACATATTCCACCTAGTATACTGCCTGTACCTGAAATTCATCTAGAACCCAAAGTTGTGCAGTTCACACTAAATGTCCTTGTTCAAGCCAGTCACCTGAGGTCTGAGGTGTCTGACTGGAAACGTCTGAACCATCCCCCTTGTCGGCTGCCTCGTTGCCACTGTTGCCAGCTTGAGACGCTGCTTCCCCAGTCAGGATATTTTCTTCCAAAAGATTTTCTTCTTCTATCTGGTCCCCTTTGCCTTCACTTATAACAGCATCTTCAAATACGGACTCTTCTGGTGGCAACATTTCCACATCCCTCATGCCTTCTGACCCATCCTTGACACAGGGGTGCTGGGAATTGGCACTGCTTTCTGTGACTGCTGGAGGAATCAGGGCAATACTCTGAGGGTTCATGTCATGAAACCAAGCCATGATATTACCAAGAAGATTGTCATTCATGTTGTTGTCCTGGCCAGCGGAGTCAGCATCACTGGACGAGGGGTAGCAATCACTTCTTGCCTCACTGAGCGGGTGTGAACTAAGGGTGTCAGTTGAAAATGGGTCACTTTCTGCTCCTAGTCTCATGAGGCTGTCACCAAGTTCCAACAGCTCTGAGCTGCTCAATGCAGTCCGAGGGCTATCTGTATTCCTGGGGACCGAGTCCAATCTGGATGGTAAAGAAGTGCCGATAGCTCCTAAGGATGCTTCATTACTGAGGAAGTCTCTAGTTTCATCGTCGATCGCCAGTCCAGACTCTTGGAGTGATAACTGTATTGCGAGAAGTATATTGGGATCATCTTCATCCAAAGAACTCAGAGCCTGAGACAACAGAGAGAAAGACCACTTTTAAGTTTGACTAAAGGAAAAAGGATTGAATCCTGTGAGATTTACCACTGTTCTCCTACACACAGATACAGAAAGACTTGCGAAAGAGGCAACCTCCATAGGGTGGAAACCTGTCAGCAAAGGGAAAACTCAAACTTTCCCCACGAAAACAAGTCATAGAAAAAGCAGTAGTAAGGCAGCGCCAAGAGTAGGAGATGTTTGAGAGTGGGGGCAATAAAGTCATCCTGCCGGGTTCTGCATGCACAGGTTTTGTTGTATCGTCAATATTACTTCTGCTTCCACAGAATGATCGTTTTATCTATTCAATATACATTTTTTCCTTGTCCATGCTAAAGGAAAGGAAAATCATAGACAATTTTTCCTGTGGTATATATTGGAAACAGATATTTTGAAAGGAAAGAAAGGCAAGGCGTCATCAAAGTGCAGATAGGAAACCGGGCTAGACAATGCAAGTACAAAAGGACAGAGCAACGAGGGCAGCCAGCAAGGCTACCTGCAGAGAATCCTGGTGTTCGGAGCGACTGGCAGGGGTGCGGTCACGCAGGGAAGAGCTGTGCAGCATGCTCATGGACGCAGAACTGACCACGGAGGCGCTGGCTCTGCGGCCGATGCCACCCTCAGGGGTATCTGTTGCAAAGCAATCGGTACCAAACATAGTTGAGTAACAAGGTTTATTACTCTTCTCACATGTCTTTTTAATTTAAACTAGTGAATTCTCTTTCAGTGCTGGTAAAGATCCATGTCGACAAGATCACGAAACCTTTCAGGTATGTCTCCTCTATGTTTGTCTCACCATGAGCAACAATATATATGGGGGTTTCAGAAGTTCATGGAAAGATGAAATTAAACGGTAATAGAAATTTCCCATGAAACTTTTGAAGCCCCCTTGCATAGCTAACACTATTATTTCTAATTTGTGATGCTGTAAAACATTTTTGCTTGGACGATAATTCTATTTATAAGGGATACTATTCATACCCCCCACCCCAAGCTATACCAAAGACCCTGCACTTTTCAGGCTTCTTAACACGAATGAAGTGGGGACTACAGAAGCCTGGAGAGCACATCTTTAGCCCCAGTGCTCTTGATTTATTCAAAATGATCTGCTCATTTAGTTATAAGACTTCCATTAAACAAGTTCACCCTTCAACATCGAATAGTGAAAATAATTTATCTCTGGTACTAGAAGTTTCCTCTTTAAAAGAACGTTTAGCGGTTAGGGAAAAAAATACCCATAAATACAACAGTATCAATGGTTATAGTTTATTGAGCATTCACTAGATGCTACATACTGTACTGTTTTTTGTGCATTATTTAATCCTCACAGTGAGATTATAAGCCAGCATTACTACTACTACTGTTACAAGGAGGAAGCCAATACTTAGCAAGGTTAAATGACAAGTTACAAAGCTAATAAGCAACAGAGAAAGGTTTCTGAGCCCAGTTCTGCCTGATTCTACAGCTCAGGCTTTTCTGTGTCCTGCAATAACAACAGAAGCACCTGTGTCTTTACTGGCTATCTACATCACAGATTCTCCTATGAACACTGAGACTAGCCCGCACTGTGAAGAGACCGTGAGGACTGGGGGAGGGCACACAGGCAGCCAGAGAGAGTACCTAAAGTGTGATCACTTGGTTCCTCAGGGTCCGGCGGGCCGCTGAGCAGACTGTGCACGTCTCCACGGCGGCGCTGCTGCCGGTGCCTCCTCCGATACTGAAATTCAGCATATTCCTGCATAAACCAAAGGTTATAAAATACAGGAGAGCATGCAACTTTTAAATGAAAACATAATAATAATAATAAATCTCCACTTTTTTCCCAGGAAAAAAATGTCTGATTTTATAGAGGTATTATAAAATCACATGGCTTTAGGAAAAAACGGAAAAGCAAAACCAACCATCACCTTCTTTTGCCGTGCCAAAGAAACGGAAAAGATGAAAAAGAAAAGGGAAGCCATCAAGTTGACCTTACTTGCAATCTGGATAAATTGGGAACACTTGCAATGCTGGGTGGTAACCAGGCCTTATTATGTATGACTGGCGATTTCTAGGGGCTTATGATCTAGCACAGGTTTCCCACTATCTGAAAGAAGGGCATTCCATGACACCTTTCTTAAGCTGAAATGGTTGTAAAGCGAAGAAACAATTACCATTAATTTATATGGGAAACGTTTTTGCAAGTTCTCAGCAACGCCCCCCCCCCCAAAAAAAAAGCCTACCAAACAAAGACATAAAACCTAAAATAGTAACATAGCGTTCACGTGCACAGTTCACAGCTACGGTGGTAACTATGGTTCCCCAGTCATCTCACTATTCAGGGTACCCGTAACCTCTCAAAGGCCCACCGCAAAACAAACGCTGAACACTAGTTTTTGTTTTTGTTGTACAAATGAAAATCCTCTTTGGAATTTTTCAGTTAGTGAAAACAGGTCCGAAAGTGTAAAGCTAACTCACAAAAAGCAAGGGATACAACCAATACCTGATCATTTCATTAATGTACGTTAAACTCTCCTGGGAGGTATGATTTGGAAAAAGTGTGGTGATCTATGCAAAAGAAAACAAATGCCACCTCCCCCCATCCCTCCAAAAAAGGGGCACACATACTATTAAGGAGTAGGATATTGACTTCCCTTTCTGGAATAGCTAATATGTGGGGTTACCTATATTACTGGCAGGGGACATGTTTCCTACTTAGCACTGGGAAGAATGCAGATTGTGGCAGATGCTCGCTGAGTCTATTTTACATTTGTGACAAGGGTCTAGAGTGGGCCAATTATGATCAGAGGCTATAGCATGAGACAAGTATGTCTCCAGACGGTAGTGACAAGACGACAGAGGAACAGAAAAGGCCCAGATACAGCACCAGCATAAAAAGAGTAATCTGGGAATTGTCTCTCAGTGACAAACACAAAAAGACTCAGGTATATAATTTTCTTGGTCACCTTGTAAAAATATTTACAGAATTTACTCAATACGTTTACTCTGTGAAAGTATTAGGAAGACGTAGAGACAACGCTCAAAACGCTTACGTCTTTCCTACTTTGGATACATTTATAATCATTTAAGATTCTAATACAAGATAGAAACCAAGCAACCATTTTATCACATTTGATGGCCCTACACATATATCAGGGGGTTGTTTAGATTCCTCAACATTTCCCAATTGGAACAGCCCTTCCTTTTTTCCTGGAGGACCAAGATCTTCAAGTGGATGACTTGTTATGTGTCATGGTCCACTGAGGACTACCAGTTTATCTTGATTCAAAATTTAGATTTAGGAAGAATTTTAGTTTGTGGATTTGATAATCCCAATGAACGTTGAGCAGGTTCCAACTCCCAGTGGCCTGATAGGATGGAGGGTTCCCAAGGATGTAGATATTTACAGAAGCAGTCTGTGCATCTTTCCCTTCTGGAGAAACCAAAAGTTGGATGGTTGGAACCATGAGCCATTTGGTTACCAGCTGGGTGCTTTAATCAGTGTGTCACTAGACTGGATGTTATTGGTAGGGGGTGTTGAGTCAGTTCCAACTCATAGCAACCCTGTGTACAACAAAATAAAACACCGCCCGGTCCTGTGCCACCCTATTCATCACATTCACACTGTTCTCCTAGGGGCAGCTGTGAGAACTGAGGATAGCACAAATTTATCCTGAATGAAATAAACTACCACTGACGACCAAACCCAAGCCCAAACCAACCTCACTCACAGAGACCCAATAAAACATTTGTTGTTTAAAGCTGTGTATCTTTACAGGAAGAGAAAGCCTCAACTTCATCCCATGGCATGACTGGTGGGTTTGAACTATTGGCCTTGCGGTTAGCAGCCCAAGTCACAATCCACTATGCACCACCAGGGCTCAACCACGGACCACAGGTGGTACATATTTCCAATTTAAAAATAATAGTATGGTTTAAAAACAATTATGAAAGAAACTTGCTATAGCTCTGATTCTTTCCATGGAGAACCCTCATGATGCCACAGGCTTAAAAATATTATTCCCATAAAATTAAATTTATCTGAAAATTTCCAAAGGTTCCTAAGATCTCCAAGTAATCATGTGAAAAGGTTTTAGTATGAATACTTCAAGTAAAGTTTGAGAAGGGTAAGGCTACGAGATGAAAAGTTCTTGGATTTGTAGGAGAAAAAGTTTCCAGGACTTTTGTTTTTATGTAGGGATTGTTACCACTTACTGAACATCAATATTGTTGGTGATTTTCTGAAATAATGTAATCCTTCTAGAACTTTCATAATTCCTGTGGGGTAGGTATCACCTTCTATAGCTTAAGATGAAATTAGCAAGGAACATACTTTAAGGTCTAAAAGTTAGAATCATGAAACCTGAATCCAGGCACCTGCTCTAAGCCTTTTTCATTGGGTCCCACCTGCCTATAAAGGGGTACAAAACAAATACTTATGTTTGCTACTGAAACTCAATTTAATTAAAAAAGAATAAGATGAAATTAACTTTACAAGTATAAATTCAACCTAAAAATCTATCCAAGCTGGCATAATTTTTTTTCAGCGTCTACACAAAGGCAAAGAGCTATTTTTAAAAAACACAATTTTAGCAGTTATTTGATAGTCAAATACTTGAAGAATGTAAAAGTGTCACACTGTGAAAGAATTCCTTAAATTTGCAGTAAGGGATACATAAAAGCTTGATATTTCAATGTGCTAAAGACTCTTCAAATATTACTTATGCTTTCACAATCCTCATTCTCTAAAGAAAAACAACTCAGTAAGGTTATATGTAATTATTTACATGTGAGGTGGCCAATCTTATTATTATTTCTTTACAAAATGAAGCTGTTACGATTATGTGAATAGCAATCAAATCTTCAAGGTGCAGTATTTTACCATGTCTACTACAATTGCTATCAGAGCCAGAAGCTGCCAAGGTGGTAAATACATGATTAAGAAAAACCAGTAAAGGTTTTGCTTTTGCTAACTTGTGTTTCTACCTTGAAATACTAAAATTTGTAGTACTTTTCCGTGACAATTGATGCTCGCTTATTATTCCTTTTAGGTAATGATTTAGCAAAACATACCCAAAGCTGTAAATGTATTATAACAAAAAAAATTATTAAGTGCAGGATTAGATAAAGAAAAAGGTTCACGACTTGTTTTAGAATTAAGACTTCATTAATATATTAAAATTTCTTGCACTTTACTTAGAGAAAATTTCCTAATCTGAGCACAATATTTTCTTGGCTGTATCTATCAATACAAAAGGCCACAGAGTGATTGCAAGTATCCTCAGCAGTTGTAAAGAGAAGAGAGCTGATTTAAATTAGCCACAGTCATTTCTAGATAATCATCAATTTTAGGTTTTCAGGTGCAGCTAACAAGTGGGCTGTAAATGATAAAAGACTACCCCGGACCCAAAATCCTAAGCATTGAATGGTTTACTGTTTTTATAAAAATCAAAGGATTCAGAATTAGAGCTAACTGCTAAAACCCTTTAGAATATATTCAATGATTGACAGTGGCAATTTAAATCTAAGAAACAAAACAAAACAAAAACCCTAAAGAAAAGCGCAATATGATAATTTTCACTCTATCTTATTTTTATTTGTAGCAACTGCTTTTGCAGTGTTAGTAACTTACATCACATGTAATTTAAAATGGTCTCTCAATAACAAAAATACCAAATAAGGAGAGTGTGAAAGTCCTAAGGGAAAGCAGAAAGCAAGTAGGAAAAGTACTTCTTTCTGCATAAAGATTATTAATGTCAAGCTTCCACCTTGACAAGCAAATGATTATAAATAAATTCTCTTATGTCTGTTGCAGTGACTTAAAAGAAGCAAGAGTATTTTTTAATTAGGCTTTTAATAGAGTCAGACTGAAACAATATTACAACTAGAAATATAATTCTATCAAATAAAATTTTTATCTTTATTGACAAATCAGAATATATTTTTCCAAGCTGTGTGCTCTAAATTTGCCTTATATCTGATTGTTCAGTAATCAGAAAACAACATAAGGGAAACAAATATAATAATATGATGATAATCCAATACCATAAATCGCTAACTGTAGACTCTGCAGACGCATTTTTGTTTCAAAAGAAAGAGAAAGCATCACTGACTAGAAATAGCAGTGGGATTTAGAACAGATTAGGTGCAAATGCAAAGAGAAGTACACTAAAGAAAAATATAATTCAAAACAAAACACAAC